GCGGGTCTCCTCCACTATCATCGTCGTCATCTTCGTCGTCATCGTCACCGTCATCGTCATCGTCATCATCATCATCATCATCATCATCATCATCATCTTCATCATCATCATCATCCTCATCAGCATCATCATCAGCATTGTCATCGTCATTACCATCACCATCACTATCACCTCCACCATTACCATCATTCTATCATTCTCATCATCACCATCACCATCACGATCACCATCATCATAATTGCCATCACCATCAGGAAGAGCGCGTTCTGTGGTTGCTTGGGGGGGAGTTTGGAACCGGACCCCCCGCCCGCCCCTGAATGGGGGGGGTCTGAATGGGAGGGGGGGGGTTCGAACCCCCCCCCCTTCCTCCCCTACTTCTCCTCTCTCCCTCTCCTCGGGCCGGCGCCTGCGTCGGCGGCGGCTGGCGGCGGCGGCGGCGGGGACGGCGACTTCCTTTTCTGGGCCGGCGCCGGCGCCTGCGGCTGCGGGCGGCGGCGGCGGGGAGCGTCGACGAGGACGACCGTGGTGGTGGTGGTGGTGGGACGTGGTGGTGGTGGCGGTGGTGGTAGTTGTCGTGGTGGTGGTGTAGTTGTTTGTTGTGGTGGTGGTGGTGGTTGTGGTGGTAGGTGGTGGTGGTGGTGGTGGTGGTGGTGGTGGTGGTGGTGGTGGTGGTGGTGGTGGTGGTGGTGGTGGGGGTGGTTTGTTGGTGGTTTGGTGGTGGTGTGGTGGTGGTTTGTGGTGGTGGTGGTGGTGGTGGTTTGTGGTGGTGGCGGTGGTGGTGGTGGTTTGGTGGTGGTGTGGTGGTGGTTTGTGGTGGTGGTGATGGTGGTGGGTTGTGGTGGTGGCGGTGGTTTGTGGAGGTGGTGCTGGTGGTGGTGTGTGGTGGCGATGGTGGCGGTGGTGGTGTGGTGGTTTGTGGTTGTGGTGGTGGTGGTGGTGGGCTGTTCTGCTGATAGTAGTGGTGGTTGTGGCGGTGGTGGTGGTGGTGTGGTAGATTGTGGTGGTGGTGGTAGTGGTGGTGGGTTTTTGTTGTGGTGGTGGTGGTGGTGTGGTGAGTTGTGGTGGTGGTTGTGGTGGTGGGGGTGGCTGCGGTGAAGGTGGTGGTTTTGTGGTTGGTTGGTGGTGGTGGTGCTGGTTTGAGGTGGTGATGGTGGTGGTAGTGTTGGTGGTGGTGGTAGTGGTGGTAATCGTCGCTGCTTCCCCGCCGTCGCCGGCGCCGGCGCCAGCGCTGCTGGCCGCCGCCAGCGCCGGCGCTGGCGCCGGCGCTGGCGCCGGCGCCCAGGTGGGGGGGGGGGTTTGAACCCCCCCTCTCCCCCTTGGCTGCTGCCTCTCATCGTCGCTGCGTCCTGCCGTCGGCGCTGCTGCTGGCCGCCAGCGCCGGCGCCGGCGCCGGGGGGGGACGGGGGGGGGGGTTTTCGACCCCACCCCCCCCTTTTGGGAGGGGGGGGGTCGGGAGGGGGGGGGGGGGGGGGGTAGAGGGGGAGTCCCCCTGGTTCTGATCGATGGCACCGAGTGTTCGGGGGGGGGGCCCACCCCACGGTTCGAAACGCGCCGCCGAATGTTCCCAAGGCAAGCGCCCGTGAAACGCGCTCCCTCCACCATCATGATCGTGATCACTATCATCACCATATCCAACATGATCGTCCTCATTGTCATCGCCATCTTATCTCTCATAATCATCGTCGTCATCACCATCACCATCACCAGCATCGTCATCGTCATCGTTTCGTCATCGTCGTCATCATCGTCAGCACCATCATCATCGTCATCATCATCCTCATTATAGTCTTTGGTCCCCTTATCATCGTCATCGTCATCACCACCACCACCACTAGCATCATCAGCATCACCAGCAGCATCATCGTCATAACCATCAGCATTGCTATCTTCATGATCATCATCCAGTTTACATCTTTCACCTTCCATCATCCATCTACCATAATGCAGCACCCGCCATCTATCATCAACACCAGCACCCACATCAACACCAGCATCATCAGCAGCATCACCACCATCATCATCACCACCATTGCCATCGCCATTACCATCTTGACCATCACCATCACACTCAACAACATCATCATACGCAAAACCGTCATCACACTGATCTATCCACATCATCATCAGCATCGGCATCCGCATCAACATCATCATCCGCATCCTCATCATCCGCATCATCATCATCATCATCATCATCATCATCATCATCATCATCATCATCATCATCATCATCATCATCATCATCATCGGCGGCAGCATCATCATTATCTCCTCCTCCTCCTCCTCTTCCTCGTCCATCCCCAGTCGTTTTTGACGGCCATGGGCCGGAAACGACCAACAGTTTCCCGTCTTTTTTTTTTGTTTTCCCCAACCATCCTGTGGTGTTGGGTCCTCGTTTTGAAAAGACTGTGCCCCGCGTCTCCTCTCCTCCTCTCCTCATCTCCCCCTCCTCCCCCTCCTCTCCTCTCTCCCATTTCGGCACACCCTCGCACGTTTCGCGGGCCCATAGGGAGCTCCACCGAAGGCCCCAGTGCCCGCGCCCGCATGCGTCACCCACACCCATTTCGGCACACCCTCACACGTTTCGTGGCCCCATAGGGATCTCCACCGAAGGCCCCAGTGCCCGCGCCCGCATGCGTCACCCACACCCATTTCGGCAAACCCCTCACACGGTTCGTGGGAGCTCCATATGGGGCCACGAAGCGTGTGATGGGTGTGCCGAAATGGGTGTGGGTGACGCATGCAGACGCGGGCACTGGGGCCTTCGGTGGAACTCCCTGATGGGGCCACGAAACGTGTGAGGGGTGTGCCGAAATGGGTGTGGGTGACGCATGCGGGCGCGGGCACTGGGGCCTTCGGTGGAGCTCCCTATGGGGCCACGAAACGTGTGAGGGGTGTGCCGAAATGGGTGTGGGTGACGCATGCGGGCGCGGGCACTGGGGCCTTCGGTGGAGCTCCCTATGGGGCCACGAAACGTGTGAGGGGTGTGCCGAATGGGTGTGGGGACGCATGCGGGCGCGGGCACTGGGGCCTTCGGTGGAGCTCCCTATGGGCCACGAAGTGCGTGTGAGGGGTGTGGCGCGGGGGGCCTTCGGTGGAGCTCCCTATGGGGCCACGAAACGTGTGAAGGGTGTGCCAAAATGGGTGTGGGTGACGCATGCGGGCGCGGGCACTGGGGCCTTCGGTGGAACTCCCTTATGGGGCCACGAAACGTGTGAGGGTGTGCCGAAATGGGTGTGGGTGACGCATGCGGGCGCGGGCACTGGGGCCTTCGGTGGAGCTCCCTATGGGGCACCGAAGGCCCCAATGCCCGCGCCCGCATGCGTCACCCACACCCATTTCGGCACACCCGTCACACGTTTCGTGGCCCCATAGGGGGCGCCACTGAAGAAGATTTTCGCAATTGCGGTACTCACAACTGCATATGGTTGGGTCCTTCGCCAGGCTAATTGTTTCACCCACACCCATTTCGGCACACCCGTCACACGTTTCGTGGCCCCATAGGGGGCGCCACTGAAGAAGATTTTCGCAATTGCGGTACTCACAACTGCATATGGTTGGGTCCTTCGCCAGGCTAATTGTTTTTGTTTGTCCTCCTCCGACGACTCTTCCGTTTCCTTCTCTTCCTCATCCTTTTCTTCCTTCTTTCCGTAACCATTTTGGCTCTGGCTCTTCTGTTGGCCTCCCGCTCTTGGACTCTTCTTCGGCGTACCCTGCAACCCCAGATTCACAGGGCAACGCGGCGGGCGTGAGGGAGGGGGGAGCGGGGCCTTGTTCTCAACGGGAATGGCGACGGGGGGCGGCCCGAGAGCGCGGCGGCCTTCGGAGCCCAGGTGGCGCGACATCGCCGCGCTCGGCGCCACCGCCGCCCGTCGTGCGGCGAGACAGCGGCGCCGAGCCGCTTGCGAGGCTGCATCCAGCCCCTCGCGCAGGCTCGCGGCGAGCCTGGCTCCTGGAGCGGAACGCGAGGCTGGCGCTAGTGCTGTTTGCCCAGGGGCGCGCTGTCCCCGGCTCCCGCCGCCACCGCCGGAACGCCGCGTGGCACGCTCAGCGAGTCCCTCCAGGCGGATTCGCCCACGCTCCGCGGCGGGCATCGCGTGGGTCTCTGCAGGCCCCAGGCTCGGCAGGGGCGGCGCTGAGCCCACCTCTTGCGGAACCGCGCCGACCGTCGGGGTGCAGCTGGGCGCGGAGGCCAAGCGCTTGGACGCCTCGCCCCTTTCCGTTGGCGCACCCCAGGAGGCTGCCGCTGGCCCCCCCCCCCCCCATCCTGGCGAGGACCTTCCTCGTCCTGGTAGTGTTCCTCGCGCCGACGACGCCGAAGTTCGTCCAGATGCTGGTGTGCTTCCTCGTGGTCGTCCCCACGACGGCCCGGGCGCGCCGCAGACGGGCGAGCGCGACCCGTACTCCAACGTGCCTGACGTGCCCGAGGACGAGGACGGGAAGGTGGCGGAGCAGTGGCGCGACCCGGGAGGCCACGCGCTGCGCGGGGAGCGCGGGCACGCAGAGCAAGCCAACCCTCTCGTGTCATTCGTGTGGGCGCTCCTCCGCTTCAAGAAGAGCATGCTGGCCTTCGGCGACGACGACGACGATATCATCCTGACGGTCGCGATGGCGACCGTGCGAGCGGCTTTCGGCGTAGACGACGGGCCCCGCGCGGAGGCGGACGATAGTTTCGCAGGTGCCAGCGCGTTGGAACGCCTCCTCGGGGCGCAGCTGTTTCTCGGGCTGTTCTTCGCCGCCCTCATGCTCCTGACGTGCGCCTGAGCTCCACGGCGGATGTGGCTCGCGCCATGGATGTGGGCGACGCCTCCTTGCCCAAACGCGCGCCCCTCCTCTTGGACGCCTTTCCCTTCGCCCCCAGCCTCGGCGTCGCCGCCGCGAACGACGCGCCCCGCGGGGGGGCGGAGGAGAGCGGCCCTCGGGCGCTTGCGGGAGATCTTCATCGTCTTCGCAGCGCGCGGCAGGCGCCCGAGCAGTGCTGCAGGGGGCGAGGTTGGAGT